TGAAACTGCTCTTGAACTGTTTGTTTTGGAATAGACACATAAAATATCATGACTGTGATATTTTGGCATATATTGGAAAATCTGCTATGAATAAAGATTTTTTTTCCAATAAAATAAAGTTCGCCTATATTACTTGGCATGAAAATGATTGATTGAAGTAGGCCAAAACATAAACCACAAAAACAAAATGAAGAGAGATTGGAGTTATAGCAAAATTCAAAGCCTGATACGTCCAAATTCACTCTTAAGACACATTTAAAAGCAATTTCTATTCTCTGGAAAGTGGTAAAGTGGAAAAAAGAATGCCCTCCATCCTGCTCATCCAGCAATTCTGCACTCAAAAGCCAAGCCATCAGACTCTTCTGACAGCTCATATTCTTCAGGAACCAGCGTTTATTAAGCTGGTCCAGAGTGCCTTAATGTCGGAGACCCTGAACACTGTGTATACTACAAATCCATTCAGCTTAATGCATTCATGCTTCCTGAGCCTCTGCTCCCCACCCAGGTGGGCCCTGCCAGGGAAACAGTGCTCAGCTCCCACCAAAGAAACTTTTGCAAGCAATCAGCTACCTGGCTTTCTCCACTGCTTGGCCTGCCAAAGGCAGGGAAATTTGCAGCTGGAGCTCAAGATTGAAAACGTTCTGACCACTCTCTGAATGTGGTATCAGAACTCTGGGGACCTTAGATCAGACCTCTGAAACTGGCTCTGTCTTTTATGCTCTCTTCCCCACAGTCCTTTGGCTGACCTCAAAAGCCTCACTGATGAAGACTTGCTGGGAACTCCCAGAACCTAGCTTTCATCCTGTTTTAGTAGTCTTCTAGGGACTGAAGGAGCTTGGACACTGAACTTTCCAGTACAGGAAACCATAAGCCTGATTCTCTCTGACTCCCATACCTGTGGCTTATCAGCCTACCTCCTCATTGCACATATCTCCTGTAGCATGGAGGTTCTAGAAGATCTTTTTTTTTTTTCAAGTAGAGGATAGTAATTTTGAAGAGCATAAATTATCTCTTCAGTACAAAGTCCTACAGGATTTCATCCCAAACTGCCCTTTAGCCTCATTACCTACCACTTCTCCATGGTTCTCCGATCCATGTGCTTAGGCATATCTAAGTATTCACCATTCCATGTCCTGACCTAGCCTTCCCATCCCCCATGCTGTAAAACCCCCTTCTGAGATAACAACTCCTTTTCCTTCATGGCCCTCTTCAAAGGTCACTTCTTCTGTGAGACTCCCCTCCCCATCACTCAGCAGGGTCTGTCACTCCCTTCTCTGGGGTCCACAGCTTTCTATATCTCTCTCCATAACAAATCCTACTATACTGTGTTAAGACACAAAATTACAAGTCTAGTTTTGTTGGTCTTAATTAGCTTTTATTTGCAATTCTAAAATCGGGCAACAATTCAAACCAAAAATGGTTCAGCTGCTCCACCCTGCCACATGTGCAGGTTATACATATAGCCAGAGAAAAGGAAGTAGCATACAGAAAATGGAAGTGAGGTACAGATACAGCCTGACTGGTTATAGCTCATGTCTGACTTATTTGAACATGGTTTACACAGTTGGCCACCTGTGACTGACTGAGACTCAGCTATTTGTTCCTGAAGTTACGTTTTTAGTCAGGAACTTATCTGGAGTCCTCTCTGGGCAATATTAGTTTGATTTAACAGCTCGGACCCAATTATGAGTTTACACATCCCTCTCTCCCTGCAATGTGAATTCAGAGGGCCTACACATTAGCAATCTACAAAGGAAGTAACACTGTGCCTCCTGAGTAGGCACTTAAAACTAGAGATCGCTTTCATTATTTTTTTTTCCAAAATAATAAAAATTACCAATTGAGGTAATTTAGTTAACCAGTTTGAATCCATACTTGGAGCTCTTGGTCTACTACACAACTCCAGAAATGTTTGCTCGTCCTAAGATGTCTACATGGCTCTTTTGCACAAACGGGACGTCAAATTCAGAATTCTGCTCCTTTCACCTTCACTTGCCTCCATTCCAGTGGGAAAAACAGAGAAGCTGCCTGCAATTCCTGCCCATCAGAAGAGACAGGCTTACTTAATGAAAGACATCTAGGAGAGGATGCACTGCTGGGAAGAGCACATCTTAGGAGGAACTCTGGAAAAGGAAGTTACAAAGCCCAAAAGCAGTTATTAAGTTCATCAAACAGAAGCTAGAGAACAGTTATGGGCTAAGAGTAAACAAAAAAGTCATCAAGAGGTCACAGTAGACCACCAGCCGAATGAGTCAAATGCTGTTTTGTTGTTTTTTTAACGGCTGGCTAGAAGGCATAAGTAGTAGGCAAGCATGCGGGGCCCCACACAATCGTCTCATTATGCCTTTTTCTGATAAAATCATTGCTAGAAGCTGCCGTGTACATGCTAGACAACATCTGGGCCCTCAAACTTAGAAAACCAAACCAAATTGAACTACATACCGTGTTTCCTTGAACCTAGGAATCTATCAGTTCTATGATGCACCATTATTTTATCAAGCACTAAGAAAGAAAAATGCTGCCAATTAAACTATAACATGGTTTCTTATTACTTAGAATTTTTATTTTACTTTTATTGAAAGAGATCTTTTAGACTTATTCAGACATAGATTTTCATAATATATCACTCAGGTATTTATAAAAAGGAAAATAAAAGTGAAATAAATTGGTTAAGGCAATGACAACCCGGTCACCTGGCTGAAAGCAATTGTAAAGCACCACTGATTTGGAAAGTATATCTCAGTTTCAGAAATGTTAAAATCTGGGAAAAAAATGTGCATTGCAGAATCAATAAAATACTGTATTATGTCTAGCTCTACGACAAAAATTTTAAAAGGACAGGTAACAGTTCATAGGGTAACTGCTACAATGACATTTCATTAATTAAAAAATGCATGTATATAGAAAAAAGTTGAGATTATTCAATTCAAGAAAGACAAAAGCAGAATAGGAATTTAATAACATTCTTCAAGGACATCAAAGTCATGCCCCATAAAGTAGTCATTTCCAAATCCTTTTTTCTTATCTTTTTAGCATTAGGACCTCTTTTTAAGGTTTTGGTTTTTGTTTATTTTGGGTTGCTGGTCTCTGTGAACCCTTGACCTTGATGTTATAACAAGAACTTCTTTTTAAAGTAATATCCTTCAAGAAACCTGAGCATGGAGCTGTTCTAGGTAGAGGAAGAGCATCATCCCAGACATGCCTGTGAGGCCACAGGATTCAGGACTGGTTAAAATCCTGACCTAGAGAGTAGATGTCACCTTCTACCCATTCCCTAAGACAGCCGCATCACAATGACAAGGGTTTAAATTGTGGCATTGATCAATTGGTTAAACATTTACTGTGGTTTGTAAAATATGAAGCACTTGCTAGGTGTTCAGTATACAGAGATTAATCAGGTATGGAGGGATTTCAGTAACATACAGGAAGGAATTTTCTGTTGGGATTTTAAACCTTGAGATCACTACCTAAGGATAGGATCGGAACTTTTTATCAGACAATTTTAACAGAGCTGTACGGACCTTAACACATTAGAAGCCCTCCTGCCACAGCAAGAGTATAAATCACATCCACCATTACGGCCCATTCTAGCTCTAGAACATCTACATCACCAATCTCTTTGCATGCTAAAAGTGGCTGAGTTTGGACAGCCATGGCTCTTACTCCATACCCAACCATGTAGCCAAACTCAGCAGTCTGCTGAACCATAATCTGCTGAACCACAACAAATTAGCAAGTAATGTGCATCCTACTGAAGGTGGGAAGACATGCATGTCACTTGGCAAACCTTAAAAATCCCCCTTAGACAGCTCTACCGCCACACTTGCGCATCTCTCTTCTCTCTATCCCTTCTCCTGATACTGCCTCTAAAACCCCCTTTTAGTGTTCTAAGCAGTTTAATCCAGACTCTAACACTACATATTCCACTCAGCACAGGAGTTCTCTGTCACCTTGTCACTGGATCATTCTTTGGGAATACTATCCCCGCGCCCAACTCCCCATCCAATGCAAAAGCTAGGCAAACCCAACCAGATGTCCTGAAAAGGAAAGGGTGATCTGTGGCTAATAATAGTTTTCACCTTTACAGGCATAACAGCACACAAACTATTTGAAAATTTACATTTTAAGATGATTAATAAAAGTTTCTTTTTCACTTGTAGAGTTAGAATTATCATAGCTGAACTCCATTGATGACAAAGGAAAGTTAGGCTGATCTGGCTGAGCGAGAAATCTTCTCCTCCTTTGCCCCTTGTGTTGTCAGTGAGCTCTAAAGGTAAAGTTCTTGGTAAAAGGAGATAACACACCCAGGTACAAAACAACCTTTCTTTAGCCAAGGCCACTCCTTTGCTATAAGCACCAACTCAATTTTTAGCCTAATTCACAGATCTTTATTTAGTATAAATAGCAATTTATCAGAGATGAAGAAAGTCAATTCTGCATCCTATTTTATTCTCTTCACATAGGAACCATATGAAAGATTTTCTGTAACAAATGGTTTTCAATTAAGTTGCATTCTGTGAATAGAAAAAATAACATATAGAAACTAAGTAAGCTATTCTAAGTTCTGAAGAAGACATCTTTCTGACCAGAGGCATAAAACTGCTGATCTGGTACGCAGTGACTGCAAAGTCAGAGGGTTTCATATTGAACATCAGAAAATTCATACTGAAGTGCAGCAATAATCATTCTGCCCTTACTCCACAAAACAACCTCATTAAAGCACTCTATGTTAGAAAACATAACATTGTTTAATTTAAGAAAACTAAAATGCAAAGGATTTATGAAAAGAGGGCAGATCATTAAACAGTATCCCTATACAACTTCAGAGCTTCACATCCCTTTACAGGTAAGGTAGTCGAGGTCCCATGAAGTTAAGTGAGATGATAAAGAGCAAACAATCCTTCAGGTCAGATTGGGTTGGAAACCCAACCATACAACTTGATCAAATCCTTAAATCCCAAAATTTCACTTGAATTTCAAATGTACATTTCGTTCCTTACCAGAATTACTTCAAAGATGAGTGGGATCAGTTTGCTGTCTTCTACAAGTCTGTTAAAAATAAAAAGATAACCACACATTAGATAATTCATATTTAAACTGTTGCCTTGATATGGAGCACTGCTGCCCCCATGTTTTATGCTAAAATTCTGTGACTGAGAAATAGGTATGATTAAATGCTCGTTTTTAAAACCCTGAACCACAGCTATTAAACACAAGAAATATGAGGCTTCTTTGCAAGTGACTACTAGCTTAGCTTTATTTTAAGTGAAATCTCAAGAAGACTGATATTTTTCAATGTGAAAATTAATTAAAATTCACAATTATTATAAAGAGTATCAAAACAGGTGATACCAGCTGAAATAATGTAACCAACCCTCACTGCACAAATTATAAATACCACACTGTAATATTTTATATATGCCTCATTAACTGTCTTCTCAGCATTAAGGAATTAATGTATAATGAGTTTTAATGATCTTTAATTTTTAAAAATTGGACACCAATCACCTAGTAGACTCTGGCACTTTTCCTCATCAACTCTAGTTATAAATTGTCATCAATTGTAACAGAAGAATTTTTCATGCAATTTAAGAGAAAATAGCCTTGATAATACCTAAACCATCCAAAAGTAACAGTTTTTATTAAGAACAATACTTGAATCTCTAAATACTCCTTTGGTCCAGGGTAGCAAATGTTGTTTTTTCTGTAATGTGCCAAATAGTAAATACTTCAGGCTTTGCAGGCCACACAGTCTCTGTAGCAACTACTCAACTCTGTCCTTGTAATGTAAAAGCAGCCATAAATTATACATAAATAGATATAGCTGTGTTCCAATTATTACAAAAAACAAGCAGTAGGCCATATTTGGGCCATAAGCTATCATTTGCTGACTCCTGCTTCAGTCCAAAAGAAAAAAATCATTTTCCTTTCTACCATTTTATTAGAATTAACTTTGTGTGATAAATTACAGAGCTTAAGACAAACACATTGCATTCATTGGAGGTGCATTCAGTTTGTCTATTTCATAGAAAACACCAGGTAGATAGAAGGAGAATTTTATCATCTGGCCTCCTGGGAGCTTATTTATCTATAATAATACACTGATAAAAGAAAAGCCTATGAGACCAACCAAAAAAGATCAGAGTGTTTACAAATATGTGTTAAGGGCAAGCAAGATACAGAGAGATTTACCAAAGACTGAAGCACTTAGAAAGGCCTACCTCAGTGTCTAGTAAAAATAAATGTGATTACTGTTCACTGTAGCATTATTCACAATAGTCAAGATACGGAAACAACCCAAGTGTCCATCAATGAATGAATGGATAGAGAAAATGTGGTGTATATACACAAGGGAATATATTCAGCTATTAAAAAAAAAAAAAGAAGAAAGAAATTCTGCCATTTGCAACAACATGGATGAATCTAGAGGACATCATACTAAGTGAAGTAAGCCAGAGAAAGACAAATACTCCATAATCTCACTTATACTTAGAGTGTAAAAAAGTCAAACTCATAGAAGCAGAGAGTAGAATGTGGTTATCAAAGAGAGGGAGGTGGACAGGAAAAGGGGAGATGTTGGTCAAAGGGTACGAAGTTCAGTTAGACAGGAAAAATAAGTTCTGGTGTTTATTACATAGCATGGGAACTATAGTTAATAATAATGTATTGTATATTTCAAAATTGCTAAAAAAGTAGATTTTAAATGTTCTCACCACAACACCCCCCTGACATCTGCATCCAGCCCAGCAATGACCCAGCCACCGCTGGAATGAGGGAGGGGCATGGGCCTCAATAACACTCCGCTACCATCCCCCTCTTCCCATCCTATAACCCCCCTCCCCTCCCTTCTCCTTCTCCCCCCCACCTGCTCTGCAACAACATCTTAGAATAAAGCATGGAGCCAGGGGAAGCCAAACCCAGCCTCAACCAGGTAAAGAGCACACCAAAAACACCACTTTCACACAGGTAGCCCACCATAGCCACCACAATTGCCATGGCTGCCACAAAAGTGGCTAGTCTCTATAGCCGCAGTCACTGGTACCATGCAGATGGCACGTCAGACTCTCAACTGCATTGACACAAGGAGAGGCACCAGCAGAGACCAAAAAAAAAAAAAAGAAGAGGTCCTCTTTCTCCACAAAGCACACTCCAGAGTAGGAGAAGCACCTGATTTACGATAATAGGGGAGGACTTGATCACACCTGTCTCAGCACTGCACAGGTCATCTAGGCAACAAACCAACAGAGGAACAGTTAATCTATCAGACAGAGCGAACAAGTCTGTGGTTATTAGAGGGAGAGGGGGAAGGGGAGGAGGGGCACCAGGGAGGGAAAGAGGAACAGGAGAGATTGGATAAGGGGCATAAAGAATAAGTATGATTTGTAACAATGGATAAGCTAATAATAAATAAATAAATGTTCTCATCACAAAGAAATTCCAAGTATGTTAGGGGATAGATATGTTAATTTTCCTGATTTAATTGTTCCACAATGTATACATGTATATACCATCACATTGTACCCCATAAACATATACAATTATTATTTGTCACTTAAAATAATGTTAATAGATTTTTAAAATAAATTAAGTAAACATAATTATTTCTGCAGTTTCAGTTTACTAGGGTGGAAAAGGTTTTGATTAAAAATACTAAGTTCATTTATATTTTCTCACTTTCCTAGGCAATTGAAGGCTCATATGTGAGGATGAAGCTCCTTACATGCCTGGTTAGGATGGGAAATGCACAGACTCAATATCAAGTACAACTTCAACTTTCTAGATGTTAACTGTCTCATTTCCTAAAATGGTCTTTTTAAATTTTTATGATACATATTATTATTAGGCCTAGCATAGAAATAGCCAAGCACATACATCCCAGAGTTGCCCTAGCAACCAAAGCCAAGAAAGTCGCAAGAACACAGATACCACTACTTCTCTAATGGTACCAAGAAGTTACAGTCTCCCTCTGCTAGAGTCTACTCCATTGTTCAGATCCAGAAGCATCTACTCACAACAGCCCTCTCATAATAGTATTTTTAAATATATGCTATTAAGATATAACCACATAAAACTACCTTAATCCATTCTTAAAAATTACAACTAGTTCTTTTCCAGGTCTCTTCCTGATGAGCAGGCTGGCCGGGATTATCTCTCAACTCTCCTTTAACTCTAAACTCTAACACTCCAGTCCCTACGTTCTTCTGAAATCAATCAACCATAACAATTTTCATTCTCTGATTTGACTAACATAATTTAGAGCCACATCTGGTGAATAAAAAGGGGACTCAAGCTAAATAAAAAAATTTTAGTTAAAAAAAAAACTCTTGTTTTCTATGACTTATGAACTAACCTTAAATGTAATTCCAATGGAAAAACTTTAAAGCAAGAGCAGCAACAAACATTTATAACTATATAAGGCAGTATTTTTCCGAATTGCAGGAAGTGGCCAATAAGTGGACAGTGAGATGAGTTTACTAGGTATTTACCAGGATTTTTTAAATTAAAAATAATAAAGAAAATCCAAGGGTGTCACACATTGTTCTATGATATATTAGGTAGTGGCATAATATGCTTTTTTTTTTTTAAACCATGAGTTGTAGATAAAACATTTGATATTCACAGATTTATGTTGCTTTGCCTCCCACAGATTTGTCACCCCTCTTTCCCTGGGTGACAGAACCACAAAAGATTACTCAAAGCCCATCTCTTCTGAGCAGAGAGAAGCCCCGAAGGGGTTAATCTCCCGGAACCCTCAAGAGAGAGGCAGTCCTTCTTTTTGGGAAATTAACCCTGAATTGGGGTTTTCTTCCCACATTTATTCTCCAGACTAGGACGTTACAGGAAGAGAACATAGGCAGGGTTATAGTTTAACAATATAGGCTGGTAACATTCAGTAAAACAAGCAAAGTGACATTCCATGATGCAATTTGCAAGAGGTTAAGTCGATCCACCAACAAAAAGCTCAATTTCGCAAACATTCTCTCTCCATACAGCAGCTTCCCAGTATCTTTACATAACAATCAGTAACTTTTCTGTCCTTTAGCCAACAACCTTGCTGTGTTACAATTCTTTACCTTACAACAGAGACTACAGCCTGTGGAAAATTTCCAGTCTTCTCCAAGGTCAACATTTTATATGTACTTTTAAGAAGTTAGGCTAAACCTGAGACTACAAGAAACTAGGCCCTGTGAAATATATTTGCTTTATAAATATTGGTATATTCCACAGATTTGAGGAGAATGCTTTAGAGATAATATTTGCCTTTCAGCATGTTCTTAAAATGTAATTTTAAAAATCAGTATTCTTACTTTAAGCATCTCCTCTCATACCACCATAGGTCCAATTGGTGGCTCAGGTCTGAAATGATCAAACACTTGATTCACTCTGAGCAATGGAGCAATCTACTCAGAGCACTCTTCCTCCATTGTGGTACTTTGGAGAGCAACTCTGGTACTCAGGCCTTTGTAGGCCAGGGAGGATAGGATCAGGCTTACCTCTAAAGAAAGTTGATGTTGTCAATTCCTTAGGAATTAAGCAGACATCAAGTCTTAAATCATCATTGCAGACCTTGGAAAATAATGATGCAAAAGGCTACTTATTGGGGGGCTCTGTTGTGGTTGGCCACCATGATTTAAATCATCAGTATTTTATTACATGAGTCTGTTACATCCTATGTCCTAAAAGAATGAAATTTCTATGGTTTATGGATAGCCTGAAGGACAGGAAGAAAAGAGATTTATCTAAATTTTTTTAAACCCAAAACAAACAAAACAGATCTTTTTGAAATTATTCCTAATCTTCAAAGGACTTTTAAGATATTAACTATGTTACACTATACTTCTCTTCCTTTATGTTAGCTATCTAAGCACACCATGTTTAAGTAATTGCAGATGAAGAAACTGAAATATACTGCCCTTTCCAAGTGTAGTTCTTGAAAGTACTTTACCTTGGGGTTTTTTTCCTCCCTTAACAGTACAATTTAATGATAGATTGTATGTGGTTGAAGAGTTTCCCTTACAAAGTTTTGTTTCAGAAGAATCACCGGGAAT